TAATAGATCTCTGCCATCGCGACACGTCGTTTAACTGGGCTATTGGCCGTGTTGTGGATATGGAAGGACAAAGCATTACACAACTGCATCGTCTGGATCTAATTTCTTAGTAGCAACTCCAGTTCTGATTAACTGGTCTTGGGTAGACGAGGCGGCCATCTTGCTCCTCAATTCGCAAGGGTGTTGGTGATCATAAATGTACACTACACTGTACTGTATGTACATATACTATACCTTTCAAATCCTATAATGGGTCATGGTTACGAAACCTTTGAGACAAACGGGAGTCACAAAATAGGTCTGTAGAGTAGTGGCCCTGGTACTGTGAGGTGCAGTAGCTGTAGATTGCATATTTTGAGGATCAAACTGACGAGTTTCACTCAGACCTTATGACGCGGAATACTGTGAGTAGCGCTCTCTGGCAGAACTAGTATTCCGAGAAGCCCAAAAACGAACTGTTTTTCTGTTTGATTCAGAATAGACGTAGCCAGGTGCGGTGCCAGAAGTTCGTCCAAACAACCCGTGCAAAGTTGGTCCAGCCATGCTTCTGGTCGTATTGATCGCATGACATTGGGCACAACGGTACTTAAAAAGCTGAAAGGCTGAATTATAGTGTTTTTAATAGCCACTTCACGAAATTTACTTATATGTGTGAGGGTTGTTCCACAGTAAAATATGCTTATTGATTGGCAAATTTTGAAAATCCGACTGAAAAAAGAGCAATCATCCTATCACTCGAAAATTTTGACAAGAACAACGACGTTGGAAAGGTTCATGATTGCATTTGCATAGAGTAAATCCCTGTGGAACCAGTCGCAACGTCATAGAGGTAAAGATGGGGGTGTTACAGGTCCGCCCACAACGCTCACGACTCTTAGCTAGTTGTCTCGCCGCGTGCCGTGACGCTGGGACTACTTCACACTTCCCGTGGTATCTTACATGCGTCTGGAAATTTTGTGAGCGTGTAATGGTCAGTTACAATACAAATGGAACCTAGCTCAAAAGAGAGTTGAGTTAGCAAAAATGTCCAGATCATGGTAGACCCCACCTTTTTCCCGCGTTCATAATCTCCTTCCGGAATTGATGTTGATTCTGTTTTGCTATCCGACTTGTCCTTTTTCCAAATGCCCATTCGTACGCAATGAATTCAAAAAGTTGACGAAAGACTTCAATAACTGCAAATCACACTCTAGACCAATGATTACACTTCAGAGTGAGTAAATTCTGAGAGTTTCAACGCGCTTCGCAGACGGCGCAGAAAGGGCGATTCAAGGAACTGCAACTAATTCCAAAGATACTAAGAACAGATGGCGTCCTAGTTTTCTGCACCTGTGGGATCACCTGTGTAGCGATGATCAGAGGACTGCAAAGACTGAACATGCGTCGGTTGAAGACTATTTTTTCTCAATAACTGTTTGCAGGCGCACTTTTCGGACTTGAAACAGAAGGTGGAGTCGATCTCGGCCCGGCAAGACACCTTCAAGTCTAGAATCGAGTCACATCAATCCACTCTCATATTGGTTGCTACAGCCTCACGACAAATTCTACAGGCGGTTAGTTTGTTAGGATTATAATGAGAAACACAATCAAAGCAAGCGGTTCTTTTCCAGGTAGCAAACTCTACCAAAAAAGTCAACGAACTGCAAGAATGGCGTCAGAACAAGACGATCAAAGACGTGAGAATACGGCGATTTATGGGACGATTGCAAAGAAGCCTCAAGTTAGTTGGTATGATCTTATAGGGTGGTTGGGACGGCTTGAAAGGCCACAATGGCACTTGATGAGGAATTTCGGATTCTTGAAAAGTGGGTGGAGCAATCCCTAAAATGTCCTTTCCATTGCCATCAGATTTAGTGGTATGAACAAAATAGCTGCGACAAGCAAGCGATGTTGCTTAGCTGGTCGAGATAAATATGCTTCAGAAATAGGAAGGATTTTAGAAGGATTCTCATGTGACTCGGGTATCCAAGTGCTCTAAACTTCCCACGAGACTGGCTGAATCTCGTGGGAGTACAGAAAGATCTCAAACATGATCCTAGCGCGAGGAGGTTTGCCTATTGTATCACTCACCATTTATTGCTACCCGAGGTTACTGAATGTTAGTTAGTTGTCTCACTGAGCCTCATGTAGTTCGGACTCTCAATTTTCACTAGGGATCCGAAGCCACATGAAAAAAGTGGTGATAGCGGTTCGGGTGTAAAATCATGTATCAGAACGGATGGGGTGTGGTGCATTAGGAACGAAATGGTCGCGTCGCGGTGGGACGGGCGTCGCGCGCGACCATTTCGTTCCTAATGCCCCACACCACACTACGAAAGAGTGTAGTAGGATGCAGCAGTAGTTAAGAAATACAGGAGCAGAAGTACTAATAGTAGAATTATGCCTAAAATAATGACCGCATATCGATTGAGCTGTATGAAGAACGCTAGAGTTGTAACAACGGCGAATGAGTGGTAGGCGACAGCCGCGTGCGGCGAATCGATTACCCAAAATCGTTCCTAACTCCCGTCTCCCGAACGGATGGCATCCCACTAGTGGCATTCCCCGCAGGATAGAGCGTAAGTATATACGTAAGAATCGAATTCATACTGGAAGATTGCAGTAATTGCACCACTGGCGCGTGCGTGCATGCGACCGTGGGAATATGAAAACAAAGTCTGCCACTCTTAGCACTTACATAGTGAAGACGTCCTGCAGCGATTCCAATCCCCGAGTATTCTCATTCGTAAGTTTATCTTTAGAGCACTAGCCGATATGTTAGCCATGGACGGATGTGCGAATAAGCCATGCCAACATGGTGGCACTTGCCTACCACGATTTGGCAAGAAGTACAATTGCTTGTGTCCACCTTATCGTACGGTATGAGACTAGGCTTCCCACTCATACCGTATCTTCCCAATGACGACTTTCAGGGTGAAAACTGCGAGGTGGATATCGATGAATGCGCTGTCTATGAAGGAACCCATGCAGGATGTCAAAACAATGGAACATGTGAAAATCATGATACAGGTTTCAGGTAGGTTTCGAGCATCTAATGTGGGTTTGAAAGGATTCGGGTTTCCTACCCAACGGTTAAAGATTCTGCACAACCCAAACCCGCTACTTGGATTCCACTCCCTACTTTCAACTTCCAATTATTTATAATTCAGATGCCATTGCCGTCCTGGCTACCATGGTCCACTATGCCAATATCGTCAGTCCACATGCTCAAGGTCGATCGAACTGTGCGGACCACATGGCCACTGTATTGACGTCGATACATCGGAGACTGACGTATTTACTTTTCACAATTTGTGGGAGCTCACGGAAATTTATTCACCTCTTTTCAGAGTACCTACAGATGCATATGTGACTGGGGATATAGGGTGTCGGATGACAAACTCAACCCGACTTGTGTCGACGTCGATGAATGTCTTGATAACCCTTGCCACCCTGGAGTTGATTGCATCAATCTACCGGGCAAATTCCAGTGTACGGGCTGTCCCAAGGGCTACCATGGTAAGTGGAAAGTCAGAAAATATTTGACTGATGATGACATTTAGGAGTACTGCCATTCAAAGAACGATGTCTCTTTTTAAATGGATGTGCCCAGTAGTGTAGAGTAAGCCACTACTTACCTTGTTGTTGAGTAAGCTGGAAGTATGTGATAGGTGATTCCGCACGTTTGCTAGCGATTCCACTGAATGATCACCTCGATGTATGAACTACATTAGCCAACCTGAATGATAAAACTTTCCAGTGATAATAAGTATATTCTCGAAAAACCACGTCTATATTCTGAGAGCCCATTAGAATAAATTAGCAATTAGAGGCCTGTATGTAGTTGGATGCGATAAGATTCAAAGGCACAGCACACGATAATTTTGTTGTACCCTTTTAAAGTCGAAAAGCGGAAGTATGAATTGGGAATAGCGCATCGGTGGTGAGGGAAGCAAGGAAATTCGTCGATTTAGCGATAAATAAGGCTTCTCAAAAGGAGTGAAAATAGAGGTTGGACGAGATTGCCATGACGGATATAACATGGAAGGGGTATTCGGACGAGATTTCAGTTATTGAAGTTGCCTAAAGAGCTGACTACATCAAGCCAGAACTGTACAGAACTGCCTTCCACTGTCGCTATGGGTCATGACAAGTTGTTTGAACTTCCTACATAGGTACCCTTTTAATGGTGCTGCCTCTACGACGCCTTTAAAACTCGTCCGTACACGCGGGACAATCTTTGAGCCTTTATAACGCCCTATCTAAACCGTTTCCCGACCTAATAGCGCCAGATATGGTATTCGAGGGGACCTCGAATTTATCCTATGGGGAAACTTAAAAGCCATTCTAATCGTGAACTGTGCCTTTGAAATGACTTTCCATGGAATAAAATACACATACCGGGTAGCAGCAAGCGGCCCTGAAGAAAATCCGGGTGAGAGAGCGCTACAATAGCTGGGAGAGGTCTCTTGAAAACCGATAGTGTACTTCTTCATCTCCCCTGAGTGTCCCATTTCAGGCAATGGTCAGATATGTGCAGATATTGACGAATGCGCTGCTGAAATCTACCCATGCTCGAAGATTCCACATGTTCCATGTTTCAATACAATTGGCTCATTTCACTGTGGGAGCTGCCCACCAGGTACGTCAAAACGCTCATTTGAGAACCACAACTTCTGACCGATCCAGCAGTATAGGTTATCACGGTGATGGTCGTACATGTGCGAGAAAGTCCGCGTGTGATGGCGCTCCTTGCCATTCCACGGCTACCTGCATAGATGACCAGTCGTCTTTGAATCCTGGCGGATTCACCTGTCTCTGTCCTGCAGGCATGATGGGTGACGGAATAGGTAAAAATCTGTGCCACCATTGATCACACTACCGTTCTGAATTCTATGAACTTCTCATTTTTATTTTATAAAATTAAGGAGAAGACGGCTGTCGGCAGAGCAATTCTACAATATGTCGTGAAGGTGTTTGCATGAATGGCGGTACTTGCATGGTATGATTTGGAATCATTCACTCAAAATTTACTGCTCAGCTGAAGGTACCGTACACGAAAATCCGATCCTGGCCACATAGAGGCGTAGTCGATTTTGTATATGTTTGGCGAAAATATATTTATGATAGGACTGAGTTGAAAGTAGACGGAGGTTGTATAACGCCAAGTTGCTCGTTACCATACATGTAATCAGGAGCTCTAATCTTGCACTGATGTCGGCGTGGCGTAAGAGAAATTCTATTTCTCCAAGGTTATGTACACTACTTTTAGAAAGCCATGGTCGGATTTTCTCGGTTCTTCGTCACCAATGCGCTATTCTCCACAAACACTTCCGCTTTTGAACTTGAAGAAGGGTTTCACAGAACCATCTTGAAATCGGCCTCCAGACATTAACTTATGCCGCCATAGGCCGCAAGTATGGCCACATTAGGAATACCTCTGGTGACATTCGCATTTGATGTGTACGGTACCTCGTATACGGCACACAGTACTAGAAAAGAATATTAAAAAAAANAAAAAAAATAAAAAAGAGAATGGAGTCTAGTAGGGTTCCAGCGTTATTTAATTTCAGCCCCTATCAGAAACGCAGTACCGATGTGCGTGCGAGCAATATTACTATGGACTTCACTGTGAGAAGGTGAGTATGAGTATCTCATTAAGTTCTGCGGTGTCATTCCTCCCTTCTGTAGCCTTTTTCCTAGAAACAATGCTTCCTGGACCTTTGCGGCCCTCCTCATCCCCCCTCACCGTTCATTGTTTTTCGGGTTTCTGCCTTCACACCAACTGTTCACCCTTCTTCCATCCGGGGCTGAAACCCATTCTTCCATTTTCTTCCATTTGTCAATTCATGCTCCTCCTGCTCATACGGTCGGGTGAAAGGTCAGCTCCTGGAGCCTCCGTTCGAAACAGAAATAAACAGCCTGATTTTCAAATCTTGGCAATTTTGCTGGTTCTTTGTATCCAAACCTTCGAATGTGAAGTAAATATTGATCAAAATGGTATACAAGGATCTGATTTTGAGGTGTCTGGTTGCGTTGCGGAGCCTTGTGCAAACGGTGGTTTGTGTGAAGAAAGCGGTCCTGGACAGATCAGATGCGTCTGCCCCATGGGTTTCTATGGGCCAATGTGTCAGTTCGAGGAAAACAGTTAGT